CTCTTAAAATTCTATACTATATTGAAGTTTATTAATAATCCTGTTGTTTTTTGTGCTCACCTGCCAGCTTGTTAGTATGTCTTCTAGCAAGTGCAGTTTTGCAGGTACATTCATACTCAGTTTCATGTGATGTTCTCTGTGCAGATACAGCTAAGTCTCTTCCAGTACTGTGGTTTTTCAGGACAAATTCTGACTACATGCTTAGTGTTATTCATTAGTGTTATTAATATTCTTTATTAGAAGAAAGAATTTTAGTCCTGTTGTCTTTTTTACCCGTATTGGTAATTTCTTTTGATCTAAGAAATTGTCTGGTCTTCTGAGAGACAAATTATAAAATCAATGGATTATAAAATCAATTACACAATCTGAATTCTACAGATTAGAATTAAAGAGAAAATTAAGGAATTAGATCAGGTTAAAAGAAAGGCAGATATATTTAAGAGTACAGTAGAAGAAATTAAATCTTATTTGCATTCCTCATCATGTTTTTTACAGTTTGCTATGAAAATGTATATGCAGGAGTATAGAAAATATGAAACAGAGATCTTTTATATTTTGTGTGCCAATTTGACACCCAATCCTGACTTGGGTGTCAAATTGTGACAATCTGTGAAGTTAGACTGTCATTAAGAAGATTTGGTCAGTGGATTATTACTTACCTAAAATGACTTCAGCTAATTTTGCAGAGGCCTGCAGTTAGGATTACCTGTAGCTTCCTCGGTTAGTTAATTTATTAGTATGATATTTTCATATGTATCTCTTAGAATTATATCTGTGTTGCATTCTCCCTGAAAAGCCAAATATAGGATAAAAAAACTTCTCAGAAAAGGTCACCTGAGTTCAGATCCCCTTTTGTAAATGTATGTCTCTTCTACTTGATTGGTTTTATAAAGCCTGTGGATTATTCAGGGATGTCTGAGATTTCCTCTCTTTTTTTACTTGCTCTTATACAAACTCATACATGCACGTGTGCACACACACAGAGTGCCTTGTGCTGCTGCCTTGTGCTGCTGCCTTGTGCTGGTGGCTCTCAGGCCTTCTAGTTATTGTGCACCCCTGTGCTCTAAGTCTCTGCCTCTGTGATGTCAGCACAGATGTGCAGATACAGCCATGCACAGCAGTGAGGTACGTGGAGGGCTGTCAGATCGAAAGGTGTCCTGTTCCCTTTGCCATCTGGAATTAGTGTATGTTTTGACAGAGCAGCAGAGCAACACTGAACCGAGTTCCTAGAGACATGGATATGTCCTAACCTGGGAATACTGGAACATAGGTGGAGAAATCCCAGCATGCAGCACAATAATGCCCTGACAGGAAGGATTTCGGACAACAGATTATGTTTCCCCTCAAGTTTCAGTTATTTATCACAAGCTGCACCTGTAAGAAGTTAATCCTCCAGGAATAGGAGGGAAGTCAATGTTTACCAATCCTGTAGCTAATGATATTCTAGAAAGGTTCAGAATTTTTTTACATAGCACAGAACCACAGCGTCCACCGTGTGGACCTGAAAGACAGGCAGCAAACTTTGCTTTAGATATGCAGCTAACTCCAAGGGGAGGATTCTTTGGAGGTTCGTTCAGATTTCCTGTTGTTTGCTATTAACTGTCTGTTTAGAAGACTTAACCTCAAAGTCATCATTTGGACTAGGGGAGGAAAAACATCTTCAATGGCTTCTAGAGGGACTCCCTAGCAGGGGTTAGGAAGCTTTGTGAGTCCCCAGAGTGACAGTCAACAGTCTGTGTGGGGTGGGGGTAGGCATGTAAAAGCTTCAACTCTACTTAACCTTGAGCCTGGAGTTATTTGCAGGGATGAACAAGAGAGATATCTGAGAAACAAAACTAGGCAAGGATCCAATGATACGTGGTCACTGCCAGTTCTGCTGGCAGTTACTCAGAACATGACTGCTATGATTTAAGCAAAGCCCTGCACTACAAGTAACTGTGAGATTCTGGAAACACTGCAATCAGAATGAAGAAATGGGTGATAGCTATCTTGACTTATTTTAGTTTAACAAACAGAGGAACCTTTCCATGAAAAGACCTCTATGATCTAATTTTTCTTTCCTTGGACAAAGAGTACATGAATAATTCCATGGACCAGAGGATTTAAATAAAATGAGTGACTTATATGAGAGTTTGAGCAGTTCAGAACCTATTCCCAAGGGTGTTGTAAATTTGCCAGTTACTTCTGTGTAAAGTATAGTGGAGAACTCTCAGGTCATTGCAGGCTGATGGGACCAGAGGATTTGTGAGTCATGGGGTGCAAGGTCATGAACTGATAAATCAGCTGAATATCATAGACAGTCTCTGTCTCATTGAGAGGAATCTGTACCTTTACAATCCTATTGTCTGGAAATGCAGGTAGGTGATTACAAGTATCTCTTACAGCAAGGTTTTAGGAGAATGCATCTGTTAAAGAAGATGAAAAATGAAGGTGAATGTGGCAGTAAGTGTGATGAGGAGTGGCTAGAACCTAACTTCACATCCCCACTGAATACGCAGTGTTCAGGAAGCAGTCTGTGTTCTACCTGCACTTGCTGCTAGCTCTCACATTGATTAACAGCCACCTTCTTGGCACCATACTTTTGTCCTTGAATGGCAAGGGTAACAATTTTTTCTCTCTATGATTGTTTTTTAATGGAAAAATATACATCCTTTTTAGGCAAAACAGTTCATGTGGGGTTCACCTAAATAGCAGCAGGAGCAGGGGCCCCTGTCTAGGGGCAGGGTGGCTCCAATAGCACTGTTTCTGGACTTCTTGAACTGCTCCTGAGCAGAGGAGACAGCTCACAGGTTCTCTCATCTGACTGTTTAAGGTATGCAGATGTTTTTTAGTGTCTTCTTCAAAGGACCAGCAGAACCATCCACGTCCCACCTGAGTGCTCTCCTTGACAATGGAGCCTGAGGGTGGTGATGTGGTGGTGTATGTGGGTGTACAGTTGCCCAGGAAGAGAGATAGAAAAGTCCTAGGGACTTGGAGAAAATATTTTCAAAAGGTCACGTCTTTTCAAAGAAATACATTATCTATTTTAAAGAAATCTATGTGAAATAAAAAGGAAGATTGTTTAATTCTTAGTTTTATAATAAACTAATGTTTTTCCTGAGGGAGGTAGATTTCCTTCTATAAAAATTAATAGCTTTAAATTAGTGATTCAGCAATGAAAGGAGAACTATCCCCAGTACTTCCAGATTTGCACTTTGACCTAATGGGAGATTAAAACTAGATTCTCAGCATATTTTCATACATAACTTGGTGTGCTAATAACTTGCTGGTCCTGTTCAGTTTAGAAGGACCATTTGAATGAATCAAGTTGTCTGCTGATACTGTTATCTAGGAACTGATCCAAAACAGGGAGGTGGTCCAAGCACTCCTGAACTTTCTGGCAAGTCTTATTTCAAAACTTTCTGCAATCAGGAGTATGACCTGGCAGCCGATGGGAATAGCAATTGAGCATTCAGCAGCAGCTCTCCAAATTTCTCAGGCACAGCTTTGCTGACACTTCTTTTTTATCAACTTGAGAGCTATCCTGCCTTCAAAAGAGAATGGGCCACACATGGATTTAAAATGCTGAAAGGTAACATTGAAAAAATTGATTTCTTCCCAGTCCCACACTGCAGCTTCAGACACACGCAGAACATACAGTGCATCTGTACAGGCTTCAACAGAGCCCTCACAATACAAAGACACACAGTCTGAACTGTACCAGTGCTGCCTTGAGGGTAGTCCAAGGAGATGACTTAGAAATAGAGTTGCACTGTTTTGCAGCTCCTGGTTTCTGGAGACCAGCCAGGCCTTGGCATACTCAAAAGCAGTTAGGGAAAACAAAACAAAACAAAGAGCAGGTCAATGTAACATTGCTGAGAGCCTGGCACAGGCCATTTATTGTCTGAATTAACCTTTCACACCATTTTTTATAAAGTTGTTGTTGCCCTACTGAAACAGCATCATTTTTTCTCTTCTTTTTGAGCAGAATAAGAGACTGAGTGTTTCCTGAGGCCAGGCCAAAAACAAAGAGAAAGGAAAACAAGAATGTTTTCCTGGAGGCCAAGGTAAGAGTCAAGCTGGGGCATCTGGTCTCTGAAACACTTAAAGCACAAACTGCTACAGTGAGGAATAAACCTGGCTTTCCTTTGGGTGCTGCTAGCCAGCTCTGCCTGCGTTTTGTTCTTTTCTGTCTGTGGTAGCTAAAATTAACATTTCATAAGAAAGGCAATGAACTAATTACTGAGTCTCTTTTGGCAAAGCCGTGGTAGTTTGTCAAATCCTGCACTCTCTTTAGTGGTGTTCTCCTGCTGCCATGTTTGAAAAATATAAACTGCTTGAAGTGCTTTTTTTACATTAACAAAGAGGAGGTTATTGATGTAGCTGTATTAAACTGGAGGAGGAAGAGGAAAGGAAGGTAGGTGGGACTCTGCTTTCTTGTGTCCAGATATGGTTATGTAGGCAGAAGAATATCAGCTTTCAAAGAGAAAGCTGAAATCTGAAGGGGGATAAGAATTAAAACCCATGGCATTTGTTGATGAGATTTTTATTATAAAAGAATACCCCATTTTGTTACAGAGGGAATGTGCATTTTTAGGTCTCATATAGGATCTTTCAATGTCATCATCTGATTGCTAGTTGTTCAATTTTAATTCAAGACATCACGTATTTCATGCTTTGCAAAAAATCTGAAAAACTGAAGCTGTGGGAAAGCAGCATTTTTAATGTTTCACCACTGGATGGAGACAGCACTCTAACTCTTGTGAGTAATTACTAACGGGACTGTAATGAAATCCCTTGTGATAAAGAGACTGAACAGATTAGTAGACTGCAGCTATGAACAGTGGAACACCAGCTAGATTTATGGAAGAAAATTTATTGAAGGGACTTCCTTTAGATTTTTGGTTGACCCATTTTTATGGTGAGAAAAGACGAGATTTAGTTGAAAAAAATTCATTCCACTTCTCTCTCCACATAAAGCAGCAATGACACAGACCAGCAAGAAATACTGGAAGATAATGGGAAGCTTTCTAAGATTCTCTTTATCTTTTACCAGGTCATAGTATATTTTTCTTGACAGGAGAGTCCTTCAGCTTTGTACGTCTGGCCTTGAGGGCTCAATGCTGCTGGTAGCAGCTGAGGTTACTCCAGCAATGGTTGCAGTGAATGTCATGTTTGCAATGGAGATTCTTCCCTGACTTGAAAGCAGCAAAGAGGATGTCACTGGATAGGAAGAAACAACAAAAGGAATTCCCACCAACCTGCAGGCTGGTAGGAAGATTTTTGGAGATCATTGGAATTCAAGGGCAAGTGAACAGATGGGGGACAACCTGCCCTATCAGGGTTCATTTCTCTCATCAGCTATGTTAAGATATTCTCACACATTTTCTTCCCTCTTTTTGTATGTCTCTCTGTGCACGCATGTGCATGAGAGAAAGGGAAGGAGGGAAGCCCTGTGGTTGATTTTAGCCCAGTTTCTTACTTAATTATAATTTACTTCTCTGTTGCCAGCAATAACTTTTGAATTTGGTGGATGAATTAAAGGCAAATTAAATGAATCCAAAGATAATTACATTCTTATAAATTTTGTGAAATTAGCAAGCCAGATAGATTGGAAACTCCTGAAGTGCCCTGACTAGAGGCTGAAGAGTGAGCTCATATAGTAGAGAACCCACTCTGGAGAGAGTTCTTACAAATGCCCCTTCCCCGGGAGAAGCTTTAATCAGAGCTTGCAGTCAACCACAAGATAAAAAAAAAAACCATAGGCAGCTAGACTTCATCAGTTCAATAAGCACTAGAACTTTTCCTTAAAACCAACAAACAGAAAAGTTGACCTATTCCATTACCATCTCTCCTCTGCCTCCAGGTCACAGAGTCTGTACAGAGTTTAAAAGCAGAGAATTTTCACAAATAAAAGCAGCAGCAAAGAAACTTACATCTACTGAGACTAATTTTTCATGTGTCTACTTGTTCTATTCAGGAGATGTATTTCCAGACAGCTCTGACATTGCATAATGGTTAGTAGGGTGAAGCTCTTTGGGGAAAGGGCACAGGGAAGGGAGGTTGAATTTAAGAGTGTGACAGCTGCTAATGTATACCTGTCACTTTTGTTCCCCGAATACAATATCTGTTGGATCAATTATATGATGATTTACATGAAAATGTCTCAATTTTTTCTGAAACCAAGGTTTCAGGTGTAATTCCTTTGCCTGTAGCCAAGTCTGATGTTGATTTTCAAGAACAGATTCTTAAAGAAGGTATTTAGGTGTCTTATTCCTGGGTGAAATTCTCTACTGACTTCACCATCCACGATGCCCAGGAAGATACCTGGTGCTGAGCCAAGAAAGCTGGTCAGCATGAAGAGTGGAGTCCTAAACGGCTACAGAGAAAGGCACAATGTTTTGGCATGAGGGGGAGGTGACCTTCTGCAGGTAGGATTTGTTTGCAGTGACAGACAGGTGTTTGCAAGTATGTGCCTTGTTATTTACTTATTCAACTGCTCAGCTAGTGGATATGTACCCATCTCATCTGTTATTCATCTGGTAGGCTGTTGTTTGCAGAAAGAGGTGAATACAAATAGTCTTGAAAACTAGCTTTCCCTCAGTATGTTGTGGGAACACTGACTTGCAGAAGGCTTGGATTAAAGGGAATAAGACTCCATTTTTCTGCCCACAATACCTTTTGCTGTTTCTGAGGCAAACCCTGTTGTGGGAGCTGGTCAGGGAGGGAATATGTTGTTATATGGCCAGTCAGTGTGAAATTATGGACTGTGACTTTCGCCAGTAATAACAAACTGTTTCAGAGGAGAAGCTCTCTGAGGAAAGAAATATATCAAAAGCACAACTCTTTTCTAGGTGCTTGATGTAGGACCAGGAAGATGTATTGGATAGAATTAAGAGTCTAGATTTAGACATGAGAAACCCGAGAAGAGGCAGGCCAGGCACATCAGAAGTACGTGCTTATAGCGGTGATGAACATAGGTGTGCTGTAGATACATTAGAAAAATAATGTGCATAATTGATATGCACATACAATGGTGTAGAAATGCTAGTAAATGCTTGAGGAGAAAGAGGAAGTTTTTAGTAGCATTCGAACTCATAATGTGGGATTTCAAATCAATTATATCTGGTTCCTTCTCAGCTTCTTCCTTCAGCCTGACCTATTTCCATCAATAGTGAAAAGCTTCCCACTCTCACCAAATGACCACTCCACATGATTAATTGCTTGGGTCCCAGCCATAAGGAGATCTGCCAGATCCATAGTTGTCCCATAGCTTTGAAACTGTCTCAATCAGTCAGCATGTCATACTGAGTAAGAGGCTTGCTATGGCAAATAGGAAAATCTCTGGTATTTAATGCTAGGAAAAAAAACCCACAAACTAACAAATTTTCACATGAAAAGGTAACCACAGGCTTTCTGAGAGCCTAGGTTGTATTCATGTGTATGAACAGCTAAAATATCCTGAGTTTGCAGACAGTACTGTAGCATATGACTGCCAGAGTAGTCATACCAAATACCTTTCTGTTTGTGTCCCTGTGGGACATAGCTATGTAAGCTCAGTTCTCCCAGTAGTGGAAAGGGAGAAAGTAACACCAGGTACACCCAGTAATATCTAGTAACTTATTGCTTAAAGCATTCCCAGAAGGGAGAGAGAGACACCCAGTAATACTTAATAACTTACTGCTTAAGGCATTCCCAATCAGTAAGGTAGGTCCTACTGATGACTTCCAGGGATTTTATCTATTTAAATGCCCTCTGGCTTTGCCTTACACTTGGTCTTAATTTCTTAAGCAATGTTGTTACTTCAGCAGTTTTCTGCATGATGAACGATGAGAACGTAAGCTGCGCTGTGCCTAGTGTCCTCTGTGACACGGTAACAGCAGGACAAGGTTCTTGAGAACCTCCATGACACAGCAAAAGCAAATCTGAGAGTTCAAAAATATCCCTGAGAATCCAGTTTAATACACAAGGAGTAAATATGTGTTTTTTGTTTCAATTTGAATCAGCAATATAGTTTTGATGCATTTGTCAAATTTGCTCTTCTGACTGGGTTAAGTAAGAAATTACTTAAAGCTTAAGTAACAAAATTTTGTGTTGACCATGAATCTCGAAAATGAGATAGTCATTGTCCTTTAATTAGCCCTAGATACTGGAGAGTCTCAAACTTCCAAAGCATTTTTCCTAAACCCAGTTTTTCTCTGACTTGGAAGATTTGCAAGAAAATACAATTGGATTTTATTGGGGTTTTTTTGCTAAAAGTTCATCTTAGAATAAGCTGGTATCAAATTTTGGGCACAGTTACATTCTGGAAATTTTTTTGTAAGGAGGCAAGTGGCAGTGTTGATTTTCTTTTTTTTTTTTTTCCCTGGAGTGGTCACTGGCCTCCCTTTAAAGTAAAGGATTTAAAATTAAAGTGAAGATAAATCTTAAACTGTACCTAGAGAACAACATATATAAAAAGAACCATAAAGATTACTGTACTGTTTCAGTCTGGCTCATGGTGAATTGCCATGTTTTTCATGAACCTATTAAATGTTTCATTAGTTAAATATGCCTCTACTCGTATATAAAATGTTAATCACAGGGGAGGATTCCTCTGCTTTATCTAAAACTATGCAAGGTACAAATGTAGGCATGTTGTCTGGTGTGATGTAGGATTTCTACTGATGATCTGTTTGCTTGCTTTATGTTCTTCCATTTCACTGGTTGTCATTGCTGTTGTTTCACAATGCAAAGAATACAGCAGCCTGTGTGTGGGTCTTGTGCACGGGAACAGACCCATCCACAAAGTTGGCTGCAAAGTGTCTTGCCCTTTGATAGTACTTATCTACCAAGCAGTATTTCTTTTCAGTGAAACTGGGTGTTTTGTAGAATACTAAGGAAAGAGGTAAAAGGAGTAGGGTATGCTCAGCACACACAGGCAGCTCTGGGACTGCCAGAAAAGAGATCAGATTGGGCACGACCTTGGCTACTTTAAAGACTCTCTTTGTGTAGGCTCTCTGCTAACAAGAGGTAATGACAGCTGCTCCCAGGGTAAACAGCGAAGAGTATTTCAGGAATGCAACAGCTATTGAACGCTGTTTTCTGATTAGTGCTCTTAAATAACCCAGAGAGATTTGTAACACTATTATAGTTTCTACTTGTCACTCAAAACTATGGTGGTATCATTGCAAAGGAGGAAAAGTTCCTGCTGTGTTAGCAACTCATATTTCTGGTACAGGAAAAGGAATGAAACCACCAAGCTCACCAGTTATTCTGCCTTTGTCCAGGCATGTTGGTATTCAAAGACTCCCGGGACGATAAGATGATCTTTACAAAGACGTAAAGATCTCATTGGTGACAGAGCCCACCCATCATAAAGCCCACTCAGAAATGAGTCATTGGTTAAAAATTACTTTTAAGCAATCCTCAGCTGCCAAGTCAAGCACTTCATTCTGCTAATGTTCCAATTAGCCAAAGCCAGGTAGATAACAGCAGGGAGCTACACACAGAGAATACAAATACGGGGAAAACTTCCTGATGTGCCATACAGAAAACAGAAGTAGAACAGAATAGTGCTGTAGGGAATGCTGCTTCTTCTTATCTCACCATGCTCTCTTTCTTCTTATCTCACTGTGCTCTCTTTTGCACTCTATTTTCCACACATTATCTTGTGAAACTAATTCCTAAATCATGACAATAACACAGCTTTTAATTCAGTGATTTTTCTTTACAGAGCAGGAATTAAGATTCCAAATTGCATGTTAGTGCTAATTTTGGAAAACCTAAGTACCTTGTTGAGGATTGCAACAAAAGTGGTATCAATAAATTCTCGTTGTCTCTCTGGTTCCAATTTAAAAGGCAAATAAATATAATCTCCACTAGTTTTCCTATTGGCAGTACTGGGTTCCCATTCCATAACATATACATTAAAAAATAGTATGTCTTTATAAATGTGAGTGTGTGAAAACAGTATGCATATGTACATATGTACATCTCTGTGTGTGTATATACACATTCTGTTGTGCATATATAGCAGCTTTGTCTTAGAGTTCTTTAATGAACCACAGACACACAGAATGTAATAATTAGGCATGGAAAAAAAATTAGAGTTCATTCCCATTGCAACAGGATGTTATAATCCTCAGTGCAGAATATGTATGCTATTAGGCTGATACACAAGAACACACCAAAATGGTTTCCCATATGAAGATGCTGACAGGAGTATTTGCTTTTATCATTCTTGTGCAGGATAGGATCTTCCTGAACCTTCTTCAGGCTGAACAGTCCCAGCTCTGTTAGCCTCTCACGTAGGGCTGCTGTAAGCCCTCTGTCATTTCCTTGCCCATTTGCTGGACTCACTTCAGTATTTTCATTTCTGTCTTGCTCTGGCGAGCCCAGAGTTGGATTCAACACTCAGATGTATCTCACCAATTCTCAACAAAGGGGAAGGATCACTTCAATCAGCTGGCAATGCTTCTCCTAAGGCAGCCTGAGATGATGTTGGCCCTCTTTGCTGCAAGGGTACAGTGCTGGCTGATGTTCAACTTCGTGCCTACCAGGACTTTCAGCCCCTTTTCTGCAAAGCTGCTTTCCAGCTGGTTGGTCCCCAGTCTGTAATCATACCTGGGATTTTTTCTTCCCAGGTACAGGACTTTGCACTTCCCTTTGTTGAATCTTGTTTGCCCACTTCAAAGGGAAATCTTCAACCTTCACCCTCCTTTCAATTGATAAAATTGATAATCAAGGAAAAAAGCCCTCAAACACATGAAAATTTGTTGTTCCTGCCAAAGGAGTATTAAAAAGTAAACAAGGAAATGCAACTCATCTCTTTAGATATAATAGGATTTACCATGTGTACTTTCATTCCTAATGTTAGACTTTGCTGAAGTAAATGCCATTATACTTAATAACTCTACAGATTAGGGAGCCTTCTAAAAAGGACTGATCAGTATTAAATAGCAAAATTTGGATACCTTATGTGTTTATGCTGAATCTGGAAATTTAATAAATAATAAGCATTCTTTAAAAGGATTTTTCTGTGATCATCACTGATCGCAGTGTTTCTTGTGTTCTTGTTAAAAAAATACCTTCTTTTTTTACTGGAAGAGAAGTGGGAAAAGAGGTTACCGTCTACATTATTTCAAGACCTGGGAAAGAAAGCTGAATAAATAAACCCTGTGGAGAATCAACTAAGAAGATTATTTTGCTGTATGAAAATCTGGGCTATTATAATTTGCACAATGTCTTAAGACAAAGAATTAAAAGAGCAGGATAAAGTTGTTAGGTTTAATCACAGGAGACTCTTCTGAGACATGGTTGGAATCAGTGTGAAGGACATGCAAGAAAATATAGGCCATCACTGCACTTCTCTTAGTAGCACCCCTACAACTCCAGTGGCTTCAATAACACTTTAGATACCATTTCAGAAATACCAAACCCTTCACCTTTTTTTTTAGGTTTTTCAATTTAACACAAAATTTATTTTTTTTTTTAACATGTTATGGGGCTGTAAATCTTTCTTTTTTTTTTTTTTTTTTTTTTTTTTTTTTTTTTTTTTTTTTTTTTTTGTTTTTGTTTTGGAGTACTGATAACAGAATCTGTCACTAGGTATTTTGTACATTTAGTTACCATGTTTAATTTGTAACCACTACTTATAGAATGTTCCTCGGTATAATGCTGGTTTACTTCAAGTGAAAATCTTACAGCTAAAATCTAAAAAGAAAATGTGCAGAGAGGATGATTTTATCAGAAACCACTGGCTTGTCAAAAATTAAACAAAGAGAAGGGAATTAAAATTACATCAGTGTCTTATCCTGCAAGATTGTCTTTTATTCAGTCACTAGTGGACACTAAAGAGATTGCAGGCTAAAGAACATATATCTTAAAGTGTTTATGTCTGACTTCTTGGAAATTGGATACAAAGAAGGCAGTAGTGACCTAGGAAGAGAACATGAACCGGTGTAAATTGTTTTAGCACTGTGAAAACCAGTAAAAAATATAATAAACAGAGCATCAACCCCTCCACCCTAGTCTTTCAATAGTGTGGCTTTTTGTTCAGGAAACTGAATTTAATGCTCTGGGTAACTGCCATATTAAGACAGACATGAAGCCTCTCCTTTTACATAAGCAAAATTCTCTGTTTTTTTTTTCTGAGTCTGTATTCTATTCTTTAAAGCAAGTACTAAAACCCCTATTGGGCTGGCATATATTTAAAATGTATTATAACTGCCACCTTCAATTTTAAATGTAATTTTTTTTGTGCATTTGCTGTGTAATTTTCTCATTCAGGGACATTTATAGGGTTGAAAGGGAACAGCGATTGCATAGTGTACAACTTGATACCCAGGAAAGGGCAATGCAAAAATTTAATAAAAATTGAGAAGTTAAAATATTGAAAAGCTGAAAAGATGCACATGCTCAATACTGTGTCTCTAGGAAGAGCAGGCATAGAAATCTCAGTACATAATTAAAATTATTACTTAATTGGCATAGCAAAGGCTTTAGGGAATAACTCACATGACTGCAATATTGATATACATTGGCTCAAGACATTTGGATTGATAAAAGGAGGAAAATACATTGCTTTATAATTAAGAATATGTAATAGGCAAAGGGGAAACAGATGTAAACAAGCACCAGTGAGAGTCTCTGCTATCAATGAAAAGAGGAGAAAATGAGACAGTCCTTACAAGGGTCAACTGTTATGAAAATTTTAAAGAGGTAAAGCAGCTGGTCCCATTTTCTCTAAAACTAAAGTTTCTCCAAAAAGTAGAAGTTGCACATCTCTCA